AAGAGCCCTGAGCCCTAAGGCTCAGAGGAGCTTCCTGGTTGGTGACCATGCACAGGAGAGGGTAGCGAGTCCCTCCTGGGGACATGGAACCTCCATGCTGGAGCTTGCAGAAACCACACCCTATGTGTCTCTTCATTTGTATCCTTTTTGATTGTAGTAAATCTGCAGCAATAACTATGGTACACTCTCCATGACATTTTGTGAGTTGTTCCAGCAAATTAATGAACCCACAGAGGCAGTAAGAGCCAGCGGGGGTGGGTTTCTGCCTATTTGGCAGTCTGAAAGAAGGCGTTCTTCTAACTTGTGAGATCTGACCCAGCTCCAGGTGGCTAGAGTTGGAGAGAGAGTCATGTGAGCAGCTGGTGATGAAGATGGAGAAAGGGGAAGGTGAGGACTGAATCCATCCCCATGTTTTGGGTACTGGATTCATGCTCATCCTTGCTGCACAGCGGATTTATCCATTTTGCCCTTTGCTTAGTGTAGCATCTTGTCATTTATTTTTATGGCATTAGCTTTTTGGTTTTTTCCTCTGAAATGCCTGTTCAATTTTCTGCCCATTTGGCAGAGGAGATGACAGAGGGGTGTGTTAGGTTGTTAAGTCTTTTGTTAGAGATTTTAAATTTGATTTATAAATTCTGGATGCTAAATATTTGTAAGTTATATGTGTAGCAAAATTTCCTCCCACGTTGTGGGTTATTTTTTCACATTTTGGAAGTCTTTGGATTTTCCCACTGCTGTCAAGTGGATTCCGACTCATAGAAACCCTATAGGAATACAATGAAGCTTTTAAGTATAATATAGTTTGTTTTCTCGATCTTTTTCTGTGTGCTCTGTGATTTTTGCATCAGCCTTAAGAAATCCTTCCCTATCCTGGGGTCCTAAAGATATTCTCCTTCAATTTCTTTTTAAAAGGTTTAAAGTTGTATCTTTCATATTTGGGTCTTCACCCACCTAAAGATATTGCTTATTTTTCTGTCTGATGTAAATTAGCAATCTAATATTATTTTTTTACATATGAATATCAATACTTGTTTCACCACTGATCTTCTAACATAAATCAAGTTGCTGTATCATTCCACGGGCCTGCTTCTGGGTTCTCTAGTTTGTTCTACTATTCCACTGTATATCTCTACATTAATATAATTCATGTTTTATAGCTTGAGAAAAATTTCTCACGTCTAATAGGGCAAGTTCCACCTTATTCTTCAAGCTTGTCTTAGCTACTCTTGGCCCCTTTGCAGGTAGGTAGACAAGACAGACAGACAGGCAGACACATCACGCACAGTGTGTGTGTGCGCGCACAGTAGAATCCATTTGCCAAGTGCCATTTGAAACTCCAGTTGGAATTTTTATGGAATTGCACTGAATTAACAGAGTAATTTGAGGGACAGTTAACATATTTGTGACAGAGTCTTTCTATCCATGAACGTATATCTCCATTTGAAAAAGACAGATGAAAAATTAATGAGTTAACTTTAAAATGATGAATTTTATGATATGTGAATTATATTCCAAATAAGGAAAAAAATTAATAAGTATTTAACTTAAGATGCTTTGTAGTTGAAATACAACAAGAGAATAAGGTAAAATGAAAGTAAGGAAAACGAAGATAAATTACTGAAAGACAATACAAAGGATCAACCCATTGCCATCGAGTCGATTCCGATTCATAGCGATCCTACAGGACACAGTAGAACTTCCCCATAGGGTTTCCAAGGGGCAGCTGGTGGATTCGAACTACTGACCTTTTGGTTAGCAGCTGAGCTCTTAACCATTGTGCCACCAGAGGTCCAAAAGATCAACAAGACCACGAATATCCATACACATTCTGCTTTAACTGAGCTCCGCAAATTCTGCGTTTGATGGTGGTGAGTTTCGTTAGGGGAGGGGTGCTGTTTTAGCCACAGCAATATTCATGCTACCCAGAGGTCTGCTTTCCCACTCCTAAATAAACGACAGATCTACCATGCCTGGGGACCAGAAGACTCAAGTTGTCATTTCTTCCCAAATGCCTCTAAGTGCAGCCATGTGACTAAGCTCTAGCCAGTAAGAAGCAGAAGCTAGGAGCACCTTCTATGAAACATCTTTAGAAGGAGGGGGCATGACTTGCTCTAGCCATTTCTGATTTTTCCTCCTAGTGGGAATGTAAATGTGGTAGACAGGCCTAGAGCAGCCAACTTGGACCAAGAGGTTGAAGCCAAGCATAGAGGTACAGCTAAGCAGAAGGAGCCTGGGTCCCCACCACGAATGTGTACACGAGACAGTGATAAGCACCCACCTTGTAAAGCCACTCCTGTTAGGGATCTGCAGTCACACGCAGATACAGCCAAGGCTAGCCTATACAATGCCAGAAACCATAACTTCATTTTCCTACTGGCCAACACAAGCCCAACGTTTCAATACTTTTCCTACAGCCCTTGCTCAGCATTTAACTTCCTCACACACCAGGATGTGCTCAAATGCTCCGCTGTCACACTCAGCCAGCCAGCATGAGCCCCCCTCTCCCCTAGAAGCCCACCTGCCCTTCGAGTTTTGTCACCCTGCTGAGCCTGGAGCCTGGAGAGAAGCTCCGTCTCCAGAAGGCGCTCAGGAGAGCTCAGTGAAAAATCGTTTCCGACCCAATGCCAGAGCAGATGTGTTCCAAACTGATAGGATCAAGCCCAACATTTCACAGACAAAGCAGGTCACCTGGAGATCACTCTGGATCACTGCTCCAAAGACAAGACACCTGAGTGCTCACCTCCACAACAGATGTGTCACGTGGCAGGGGAAAAAATAAAAACATAAACCAAAGGTCTTGGGGGAGACTCTATTTTCCATAAAAGAATAGATAAAAAAAGGTTATAAAATGTTACCTCGTTTTCCAACTAGAATAAGCGCAACTATTAAAAGGGACAAAGAGAAGGATTTTAAAATGACTACTTGTGGTGAAAACCAATCTTCTCTTTTTGTGTTCCACTAGCTATGAGTACTTTCGCTTTAACAATCTCACGTAGTTTTTTTGAACAAACTGACTACACAGACAGGTGATGTCAAAGATTAGAAGTACAGCTACTGGAGCCATCAAGATCCAAAAGAAAATACTTCAAACAATAAAAACATTCCATTTTAGAGAGACACCATTTACAATAGCAACAAAAAAAATATAACTAAGAATAAATCTAATAAAACATTCCCAAGACCTTTCAGAGAGAAAAGTTTTAGAACTTCATTGAAAGACATTAAAATTGGCCTAAAAAAGCGACAGAGGGCATGCTCATGAAAATGAAGACTACATTTCAAAAGATGCCAGTTCTCCACACTGACCTATATCCAGTGCAATTCCAATCATAATTCAAACAGATCTTAAAAGCAAAAGACAAACAAACCAAAGGGTCTGGGCAATCTGGTTCTAGGCTAAGTGGACAGCCAAGGTCTAAGCAAAATTATCGGCAGAATGTGGCATGAAGGGAAGGCAGTCGAAACAGTGGGACAGAGTCAAGGACACCAAGACAGATCTATGCAAATATGAAAATGGCAAAAGATAGGAGTGGTATCACAAACACACTGAGACAACACAGCCTCGGTAAGTGGGGTGGGGGATGGTGGGTTATTCCATGAGGAAACAAACCACGCTCCTGCCTCCCACCGTACACAACTATCAATTACAGAGGTTTAAGCACTTAGGTGTGAAAGGCAAAACTGTAAAACTTCTAGCTGAAAATATGCCTTTATGATGTGTACGCTCCGTTGTTGCTGTTGTTAGCTGCCATCAAGCCGGCCCCGCTCATGGTGACCCCGTGCGCAGCAGAATAAAACGCTGCCTGGTCTGGCACCATCCCCGTGACCAGCTGTGTATCGAAGCATTATGATCCATAGAGTTTTCACTGGCTGATTTTCAGAAGTAGATCATCAGGCCTTTCTTCCTAGTCTGTCTCAGTCTGGAAGCTCCACTGAAACCTGTTCAGAATCATAGCGATATGCAAGCCTCCACTGACAGCCGGGTGGTGGCTGTGCATGAAGTGCACTGGCCGGGAATCGAACCCTGGTCTCCCGCACGAGGGCGAGAATTCTACCACTGAACTACCAATGCCTTCATGCAACAATTCTACTCCTATATAAATACCCTAGAGAAATTCTCACCCATGCGTACCCGCATGGGTACATGAAGGTTCCTGGCAACATTTTCCCTAATGGCAAAACACTCGAGACAACCCAAATGCCCACCAACAGGAGAAAAGAGAAACAACAGATAAGTTGAAGCTTAGAAAATAAGGTGGAGGGAAAAAAAGCAAGTTGTAGAGACCAGACTACAGAAAGAACAGCACAGCTCCGAAGGAGGCACAATTAAATCACGAGTTTGTGAGCGCTACGTGACATGCCCTAAAGCTATGAAGGACAACAAGCAAATCATAAGCATGAAATTCAAAAGGTGGTCATCTCCTGGGGGGCGGCGAGACAAGGATGAGAAGCAGAAACAAAACGTTCTGAACGTGGTGGTGACGGCTGCGCCACATGGTGAACGTAAGCCACGTCGCTGAACTGCACACTTAAAAACGGGTAAAACGGCCAAGTTTACGTTAGCTATATTTTACCACAATAAAATTAAATTACACAGAAAACCAGAACGCGGAAACAGCTTTAACAGTTACCGATCGGTTCTGCTTCACGTTCATGTATGCAGCTGGTCAGCATGGCGGGGTCTACCTTATAGACTGGGGGGTGGGTCCATGAGAGCATTCTCTTTACACACACACACACGCACACGCGCGCGCACACACACACACACACGTGTTCTTTTCTAAGTGTCATTATTACACAATAAAGTATTTTAAGAATAACTGGAGATTCCTGTTGGGTATTACGTCCACAGGGCCAACCTCACCAGAAACGGGCCAGCCCTAAGCGTGTTTCCAGGTACAGCGCCTGCACTGAACCCAGTTATCTTGTGAGTACAGTCAGCGCCAATCATTCTTCACAAAGGGAAAACCTCCCAGCAGGAGTTTGCGGATCCGGCTCACCTCTGTCACTTTGGGTTGAAGTGTTAAAGCCTCTGGGCTCATCCGAGGGATATCTATGTGGATCTGGAGAGGCAAGGGAAATAGAAAGTTACTTTAAAAGATAAGAAGCATGATACAAGCATTATGATTAAAATGGCAATATGTTCTGATGGCAACAAATTTGCTTTGGGTCTTAATCTGTTCTCTCTCTGAAGATATGAATTCTGTTTTCTCATATTTCCTCTGGAGAAAGTATCCAAGGCCTGCTCTATGTGCATGGGGCCCGCCCGGTCTAAGACATCAGGCTCCCGGGCCACAGTCCCCACGACACAGCACACTAGGCCTGCTCTATGTGCATGGGGCCCACCTAGTCTAGGATATGAGGCTCCCTGGCCACGTCTGCCCCGACATAGCACGCTGCATGGTGAGCATGGAGTTGCCCGCAGCTATTTAGCAACATCGTGCACGGCAATTAGCGAACACTGATTTTCAGCCTCTGACACGGGGGCCATTCGAGCACATCAATAGTGTACAAGTTTCCAGCTGTGACAGCTTCTTCATGGAACACAGGCCACATCTGTCTCCACAAAGTCCTTGGGGAATCTTAGACTCTCTGCTATCCTGTGGCTAATTCCTGCTTGACCCTCTGTGACAGGAGAATCACAATCAAGGTCTCAACACTGTAGAGGAACGCACTGTGGGCTCAGAAAACACGGGGACACTGGAGCCCAGGCTGGTGTCAGAGACGGCTCACAGCGTCCCACGTACACACGGGGACACTGGAGCCCAGGCTGGTGTCAGAGACGGCTCACGGCGTCCCACGTACACACGGGGACACTGGAGCCCGAGGTGGTGTCAGAGATGGCTCACGGCGTCCCACGTACACACGGGGACACTGGAGCCCGAGCTGGTGTCAGAGACGGCTCACGGCGTCCCACGTACACACGGGGACACTGGAGCCCGAGCTGGTGTCAGAGACGGCTCACGGCGTCCCCCGTACACACGGGGACACTGGAGCCCGAGGTGGCGTCACAGACGGCTCACGGCGTCCCACGTGCACACGGG